ATCTGGTTGTGTATAGGTTGCTTTTAATCTTTAGCTAGGTAATACACGTTCCAGATCTTTCTTGTAGCCTGTTGTTGGGCTTTAGCTGGAGGATTCCCGTTTGTTGATACTGTCATGTGAGTAAGAGCATGAATGCAATAAATATATGTACAAAATATACAGAAAGAGTCAGAGGCGGCTGCAGCCAAGATGGAGGTACAACAGCAACAACAACACGAGCGTGATCGCATTCATCGTCTTCTTCGTCTTCGTCGTCTACCTGATGCTCTCTCGTTGCCAATGTCATCTAACATGTAACCCCCCGCCGTCGGTAGCGCCGTTGTAGAAACATGTGCGAAGATGTATGGTTTGAGACGGGACACGTGGACGACGTCAGTGGCGGGTGCGGACGGCGTCGACTGACCGTCAAACGGAGCGATCTCATATGTGACCTCAGTAAGCCGGCGTAAAACCTTGTAAGGCCCCGAGTAGCGAGATAGGAGCTTCGAAGGGAGACCAACGTGGCGGCATGGTGTCCAGAGGAAGACCAATGAACCTGGAGAGTAGGAAACTACTCTGCGATGACTATCGTAGCGGGCCTTCTGACAGAGCTGCGAACCAAAAAAACATTTCCGTGCGATTTGGTGGGCGACTTGAGCCCGAGCAGTGACATCCCGGGCGTACTCTATAACCGTTTGCGTAGTTGATGGGAGAAGAGTCTCAAGGGGGACGCTGGATGGCGGCCGAACAATAAATAGAAGGGGAAGAAGCCAGCGGCGTCGTGGTGTGACGAATTGTATGCGAATGTCACATAAGGCAAAGTACTATTCCAATCAAGGTGATCTTTGGAAACCTACATGGAGAGCATTGTTGTCAAGGTTCAATTTAGGCACTCGGTAAGACCACTTGTTGGCGGGTGGTACGCCGCAGTGCGCTTGTGCCACGTCGAACACGAGGGAAGGATGTCACTTACTGCATTTGAAAGAAATGAGCGACCACAATCGGTCAGCAGCTGCCGAGGAGCGCCGTTGTGAAGAATTATGTCACGAAGCAAGAAGTCCGCGACGTAGTGGCACAGCTTTTTAGTAGCACTCGTGTGATAGCTTATCTTGTGGCGTAGTCAGTGGTTATGGCTATCCACTTGTTTCCAGTGAAGGAAGTAGGAAATGGTCCAACGAGATCAAGACCAACGCGGTAAAAGGGGACGGTGGGTATGTCTATTAGTTGAAGTGGACCAGCTTGTGGCAAGGTGGAATGTTTGGATCGCTGGTAGGACTCACAGGCAGCAACGTATCGGCGCACAGAGCGGAAAAGGACTGGCCAGAAGAATCTACACCGCCCGCGATGGTACGTGTGCGTGTCCCCGAAATGTCCAGTGGTTCGTGAAGCGGGCGTCGTGAAGCTGTTTAAGAACAGCAGAACGGAGTGTCATAGGAACTACGAGTGGTAGCTTTGGTCCCGCGGCGTTGGTGTTGCGTCGGTAAAGAATACCATCGCGTAGAACGAACAAGTCTAGCGAAGGGTCTACGTGGGGCAAACGTAGACTGTGCATGATAAATCGCAAGTGGATATCGCTGAGCTGTCCTTTGCGTATGTAGGTGAAAGCAGACGTGGCGAAGACACAAGGGTCAGAATCATGTGCTGAAAGGTTGGGGGGGTCTATGGGGTAACGGGATACACAGTCGGCATCCTGGTGCGTTAGGCCACATTTGTATGCCACATCAAAGCTGTATTCTTGGAGTTTAAGGCCCAACGGCCAAGTCGTCCAGTTGGATTTTTAAGGGACGACAGCCAGCCTAAGGCATGGTGATCCGTTTTTACCGAAAAGGAGCAGCCAAACAAGTATAGTTTCCGACTGCAATTTTCCGACTGCCCCGACAAGTGCGAGGCACTCATGCTCTGTGACGGAAAACTTGCTCTCCGAAGGAAAAAGGAGGCGACTGGCAAAGCGATGACGCGGTCCTGTCCTCGTTGCCTCTGGGTAAGACCAGCACCGATTCTGTGTCCGCTGGCATAAGTACGAAGTTCAGTATGGGCTGACGGGTCAAAATGGACCAAGATGGGTGGGGAAGTAAGTATGGCTGTTATGGTGCTGAAGGCAGTTCCTTGGTCAGTACCTAAAAAAAGGCATGTCCTTCTTCAGTAATTCCGTAAGTGGTCGGGAAATGTCAGCGAAATTCTTCACAAAACGTCGAAAGTAAGAACACAGGCCGATAAAACTGCGTACATCTTTTGCACAACGTGGTAGGGGAAAATCTTTGACAACTCAAATTTTGTCACGATGCACGTTGCACGCCTCGAGCACTGACAAGGTGGCCCAGCACAGTGATTTCTCGGCGGCCAAACCGACATTTGGAAAAATTGAGCTGAAGTCCTGCTGTCTGGAAACCTCAAGAACAGCCTATAGGCGGCTAAGGTGGTTTTAAAGTGTAGGTGAAAACACGATGACGTCATCGAGATAGCACAGGCATGTGGACCATTTGTATCCACGCAGGAGAGAGTCTATCATCGTTTCACATGTAGCTGGGGCATTACACAATCCGAATGGCATAACCTGCAACTGGAAAAGTCTATCCGGTATAATGAATGCGATTTTCTCACGGTCTGAATTATCGACAGAAATCTGCCAGTATCCTGATCGTAAGTCGATAGATGAAAAGTATGCAGACCCAAGTAGGCAGTCGACAGCATCGTCAATCTGCGGCAGTGGATACACGTTCTTACTTGTTACTTTGTTTAAGTGACGATAGTCAATGTAGAAGCGCCAGCTGCCATTCTTCTTGACTAGCATGACTGGTGATGCCCATGGACTGCAGTAAGGTTCAATGACGTCTTTTGTGAGCATTTCTTCAACTTCGTGCTGGATAACTTGTCGCTCAGCATTTTACACGCGATAGGGACGTCGTCGAATGGGGCTGGCGTCTCCAGTGCTAACCCTAAGAGTTACGAAGAATGTCTGACTGAAAGGGTGGTCATCAAAATCAAAGATGTCACGTTAGCATTTCAGCAGATGCCGGATCAGCTGTCTGTGCTGGAGGAAGGTCAGGGGCGATCATCTTGTCGATGGTGGCATTTGCTGCGCTCTTCGAGGAGGAGAATGGAGCAGTGGACGAAGAAGATTCGGCAACGAACGCCGAAATTGCAGCATCTATAGAAGAAATTTTTGCCAAAGTCATACCATCTGGGATAACTTGAGCGCGCCAGCTAAAGTTTAGGATCGGAAGAGATGCTGTATTTCTTGTGACTGTCAAAAGTGTGTGAGGTACGGCAACATTTTTGGCCGGCAGAATGTCAGAACAAGGCGCCAACATGTAGGCACTGTCGGGAACAGGAGAGACAGATATCAGGTTCACGTACGTCACGGCTTGAGGTGCTTGGCAAACATGATCTGTAGAACACAGACGTGGTTGAGATGGTGTTGGGTCATCATGGTAACACGGTAAATCAAGTTGAAGCATGCCGGTCTTGCATGAAACATTCGATACGTCAACTCTTTGTGGCCTCAAAACTCTGGCACTCCTTGATGATGGGATCGATCGTGTTACAATCCTTGCATATGAGAAGGTTGAACGCATCATCTGCAATGCCTTTCAATATGTGAGCTACTTTTTCGGTTTCTTCCATACCGTTGTCCGCTTTTCGGCAAAGAGCAAGCACGTCCTGTATGTAAGTCACGTAGGACTCTGATGACGTTTGTGCACGCGATGCCAACTCCTTCTTGGCCACTGCCTTTCTACTCACAGACTTGCCGAAAAGGGCACGCATCTTTTTCTTGCACGCATTCCAACTTCAAATTTCATCTTCGTGGTTCTCGAACCACACTTTTTCGGTTCCTTTCAAGTAGAACCGGATTTTTGCCAACTTAAGAGTTTTCTCCCAGCGGTAATTCTTACTTCTACGTTCGTACAACGGCAACCATTCTTCAATGTCGACATCATCAGTGCCACAGAACGTGCCAGGATCTTTTAGCTGCTGAAGGACAACAGTTGTTGTTGCAGTCGCCTCGGCGGGAGTTTCAGCGACGGTGTTGAGTTGCCTCAGCGACGTTTGCATTTTTGGAAAAATGCAAACGTCGGCAACCATGGACCTCCGTTATATCGTGTTGTACCCAGCACCTCCACCTAATGCCACGAGGGTAAGAGAATGAATGAAATAAATGTACAAAAAATATACAGGGATAGTCAGAGGCAGCTGCAGCCAAGATGGAGGTACAACAGCAACAAAAACGCGAGCGCGATCGCATTCGTCGTCTTCGTCGTCTACCTGATGCTCTCTCACTGCCGATATTTTATAACAATACGCTGATTATCAGCACAGAGAGTTTCGCATTATACCACTGGTAGTCACAAACACAACACGTTTGTCCAAACTCCACAGGCATAAATTCGCGCTGAAACCAACCGTTTGAACTTCTCATAGCCAACGGGCATATCTTTATGAGCGTACGCCTTTCATCACTTTGGGCTCTTTTTGCCACCGCCGATTCCTTTCCCGTGCCATAGTATTCTCTCATTGTACGAACTCAGGATCTTCAGCTCACTGCTGCCACTTCAGATCTATTTGTTAAGCTGTTTTCTTTTTTATTGAATCAGTGCTTTTTAGTAGAAGGATTCGCCTAATTTTAGCGACACATATACATTCACAATGATCATGGTCTCTTGGTGGAGCACACGATGGCACACAACCGATAAGATTGTAATAGTTTTCTGTGATCGATTCACAAGAAACAATTCGCGAAGCCATTTTACTGTTGAGACGCTGTATATCCATGACTAGCCCACCAACATGTTTTAGCACGGTGAATTGCTTAGCAGAAGTGATGCTGGACTGGTATTGGTGGCAGGCATTACTGCTTGTGCGTACTTACTTTACTTGCTAATTTGTTTTGAGGTACTACAGCTTCTTTACTTTTACAGCAAGTAAGCTACCTGACATGAATATATTCAATTCGTGGCTTGCAATACCGTGATGTATTTTTATGAAGCGTCAGACTAATCTTGCCATTTACAATATCTTTCCAGATTCTAATGAACTTGCTCCGCGGTCCTGCCATATTAATTTTGAGTCGGTGCCGACGTGGGGTGCATTCGACGAGACCACATGCAAGGCGGGGACACAATCTAGAGGTAACATTTCCTTAGTGCTGCTGTGGCAGTTCTGCGTCTTGTGACGTTGAATACCTTTTTCAGCAGGCATGCTCGCAAAAATCTTGCAAAAGTACCAAAGCACATCTTTTACATGCTCATGTACAGACCATAATATGATAATCTCGTGTGTCACGTATTGACGATTTTATTTTCTCTTTAAAGATAAGGGTTTGATTTACATACATGGCTGTTAGCAGCATAACAGTGTTATCAACACCTAGTTCAATCTGAATATCTACTTACGCCTTCTAATTTCTAACTCGATTATATGAAATGTTACTTCATTTCGTTTTGCCGTCTAGTTTTAAGCCTAAAGTGTTGAAATATGTTGTAACATTTCAATGTTATTCACTTTTTTTGGCAGTCTTAAGAATAACAACAAGCTCGGATGGTGAATCAATGCTTGAATTCCTCATATAGTTGGCCTCTCTAATAAAGCCGTCTAGCAACGGCAGATGATCACGCTATTCGCACTTATTGAAAACCAATCGACTGGTGCTTTCGGTAACAAAATGATCTAGTGACAATGCTTATAAATATCCTTCGCAGCGTACGATCGGTGTTTAGAAACTGCAACCCTTCGCTCCGCAGCGTGCCACATTAAACAACTCTTCGGGGAGCATACGTCTTTCGGTAAACTAACGGCTACCTATTCTTATAAATACCTCACAGTTGGCTGAACGCAGAGCTCAGATGTGCGTCAGCGTGTACATAAACTTTGAGATGCCACGAAGGGTGTACTTCAAAGGTCATCACTTTACTCGTTTTAGCCACACATGTGACGCACGCTCCTTATACTTGTATCACATGTACTTTGCCTTAGAGGCAGTGGCGGCCCGCGCACGCTGACCCCGTGAAGATGGTATTCTGCACATACCACATTCTTATATGTTAAGAGACCGTCTATTGTCTAAAAGGAATATGAAATGGCTGCTCTCTAAACCCTGTCTTCGGCGACTTAATTCTCAGCCATTTCGACAGACGCAAAAAAAAGAAAAAATTTTAATAGTAAAGATTTCACGTAGTTTTAGATACTTTCACAATTACCTTGTGCTGTTTGATTCGGGTATAATATAGCACTGTGGCTGATGGGATTACCATTTTCAGCGAATTCCATGATAAATCAGTTATTTCGCATGAACTTTTTGTTGCTAATGTCAGCCACCCTATACGCATCAAATCAATTTTGACCAACAGCCATTTTTGAGAATATCACCCTCTAGAAAATGAAAAAATCACTTCCGCACCGCATATATCAGCCCATTCAATACTAGAGAAGCGCGCATTTGCGAACCGCTGTTTCGTGAATTCACACTGAAATTCAAGCCCTCACCGAACGCAAGTCTTCCTCTCCAAGCGAAAAGAGTGGCTGCTTGATACAAGTTATCCTGCTCACGTGTTCCTGTCGGCGGCGGAAAAGGCGTTAAAGGGACACTGAAACACTTGTTTAAAAACGAGGTGATGGTGGCAAGGTACGTAATTTTGTGCCGCGAACTCAAAAATAGAGTAGAAAATTTGCCTAAACCAACGCAAATAACTTTATTTTGCCAAAAACAAGCAACAGGCGCCGCGGACGCCATCACGGGTCTCGCCGATGCTGTGATTGGTCGCAGCTCCATGACGCCACGTCATGAAGGTAAGGACAGATGACTGCACCCACCGGCAGTCAATGCCGCGTTTATCTGTTCAGGCGCTGCGCCGTACTCCCTTCCGGGCGCAGAATTTAAGCGCCTTCTTCTTTTTCTAACCACTACCACCACCAACAACACTATCTGTTGAAATCGGTAACTTGCTGTAAGTATAGCGAACTGTGAAAGTCGCACCGAGTTCGCCATACACCCGTATATGTTCCTGCTGTTCGCCACTTTAAGGGTGACGACTCAAACGGCCCAAAAAAGCGAATCCCAACCGGTCAGCTTTACCCACGTAAAAATATATACTGGCACGTATAAGATACATGTCAGTGCTTAATTTCACTGTAGGAAACTGTTACAAACGAAACGCGCACCAGCGGATATGAAATTCACGAAGAAACAGCAGCATCGGCACCCGCTTGTAGCCGCGTCCTGGCACGGTCCACAGAAGGCGCGTGTAGAGTGTAGAAACATCAGCTATTTGTGAATTTCACAGTTCAGAAGGCAGCGTTGTTAATGCAGCCAGTACCATAAATCGTAGTGGGCAATTAAGGCGCACGCAATGAGTCAGTAAACTACCGCGAGAAAAAAAAAAGAAGCCAGATAAGTGCTGCTTTTGCAGCAGCGGTGATATGTGCTCTGAACTGCGCTGAAATTCGCACAATTATAGTTTGGCTGATATATTGTGGTTCTGCTTTTTAAAACATCGCCACTTTTTCAATGGAAGCGAAAATGCTGTAGGCCCGTGTGCTCAGATTTGGGTGCCCTGTTAAAGAAGCCCAGGGGGTCGATATTCCCAGAGCCCTCCACTACGGCGTCTCTCATTATCATATGGTAGTTTTGGGACGTTAAACCCCCCATATCAATCAATCAATCCATACCGTCACTTTTTCTACATTCTGCCCAGTACTACAGTGACGATGAGTAAGTGCAAACGGCATATTCGCTGCGCTAAAAGCATGTGACTGTCGTGCAGAATAGCTAATTTAGATTATTCGTACTGATATCTTTGTACACGTGTTTTCACCATAGGTTCTCATGCACGCACTGCTTGCAAATGGGGAAAGACGACTGCTGCTGCCTCGAAATTCGGCAGATTCGCGACCACCACAGCGGGCTTCATCTCGTAGGTTTGGAATATTTTCTGTTAACTGCAGCAGCCCATTTTGCAGCCACCATCTAATCCCGAGGAAACTTGTAAAAAGTGACCTCATCACTATCGTAAGTGCTGCGGCAGCCGTAAGCCCCACAGTAAAAAAAAAACACCAAGCGAAAATATCTCGGCATCGCGGGTTTACTTCAGCCTGGCAATACCACCACTAGTGAAAGTCGGATGGCTAAAATCTCTAATCAGAAGAAAATGGTGCAATGGCGAAAATTCTTATGAAATGGCCGAATTGATGTTTAACCAGGAAGCAGAAACAAGGCACAACCACGAAGTAAACAAGGTGAGCCCGCTGAGCCGACTTAGCGACGCAGGTGGCCCGGCGCAAAGTTGCCCACCTGGCGGTGGCTCGACCCTGACGGTGACATCACCTCTATATCTCTCCCATGCTCCACCCTTTCGCGCGTGCGGGCCGGCGGGGTGTTCCCTCGGTCAAAGTTTTTTCACTTATAGCGCCATTGTTTAATCGAACCTCGCGAAAAAGAAAAAAAAACCCTGTTGGACATGTTGTAAGAGGTCGCGGATGCCGAATTCGCAATAAATGCACGAATTCAAAACCTCTTCCGTGTTCCTTTAAGGAAGCCAGAAGACCCGGCAAGCTCGAGTAGGCGGAATTGAGATAGGCAAAAAACAGAATCTGTGCCACGCATGCACGAGTTATTCCCCTACATGAAGGTGGCGAGAAAAGCAGAAGTGGATGTGGTGTTTTCCGCTCCGCAAAATGTCTGCAGCTACTGATCCTTTTCACATGAAATGAAAATAATGCACAAATACGCACCAGTGGTCGTGCATGGCTTGTGCACAAAGTGTTGTTAATCGCTTTCCATTTGCGCATGGCAAAGTGTATATCGGGGAGACAGGTCTTAATGATAGGTTTCAGATAGCCCAAACAGAATCACAACCATTACCATGATGAGCATGTGTGCGTGCAGTGCAGTGACTACGACTGTCAACCTTTGTTCAATGAGCGTGAAGTTCTGTATACAAACGGTGGAAACGATGCACGAGAAATTGTCCAGGCCTGGTTGATGGTTAGAGAAAGTGCTTACTGGCAGAGCGTGCCATCGACTGCTTTAAGCGCAAAGGAAGTCGGGTATCTGAATGGTGCAGGCACGCACTTCTGATAAGGTTTTCTTGCTGTTATTTTCTATTTTCATCACTAAATTATACGTTTCCAAAATAAAGATTCAATTTTGAGTGGTACACGTCTTTTACTCTTTGTGTCGTTCCTTTTTTATCAGTTTTATGGTTTCATTTAGTGTACAAACTTCGTCTACTATCACCGCTAGCTTTGCGTTAAAGTTACTCAGTGCATGTAGGTCGTTTCGCTCGTTTCAGGGGCTTTCTTTGCAAAAGAAGTGAGCTGTTAGCCAAAATAGGCAAAGTAAGAATTACAGTTGACTGTATATGGTATAAAACTGCAGCGTGCTGCTTCAAAATGAAGCAACAATTTTTAGAGTTCTCAGTTGCGCCGCTGCGGTGGTCTAGTGGCTAAGGTACTTGGCTGCTGACCCGCAGGTCGTGGCATTGAATCCCAGCTGTGGCGGCTGCATTTCCGATGGAGACGGAAATGTTGTAGGCCCGTGTGCTCGGATTTCGTTTCACGTTAAAAAACACCAGGTGGTCAAAATTTCCGGAGCCCTCTCATAATCATACGATGGTTTTGGGACGTTAAACCCCCCATATCAATCAATCAAGAGTGCTCAGTGTGCACTAGCTCTTTGTATACTTGTACGTTCTTCTTCCGCGAACTATTGACCTGTTCATTCACGCTCGCACTGAAGGCGTTCTTTTTGTCAGTGTTTCGTGCTTGAGCAGTGCGCTACAAGCTTTGAACAGCTTGCCATTCTTCCTGGGACATCCCGATTTTTCGCGGTCCCATTCAGTGCTTCGAACTTGCGGCGAAACTACTTTTTAAATTCAATACATCTCTGTTAAGAACTAAGACAAGCGTGTACATATGTCATGTCACATTTTAACACAAGTGCTAGGTCTTTCTTTCCATTCAAGAGAGCCCCGCCGCGGTGGTCTAGTGGCTAAGGTACTCGGCTGCTGACCCGCAGGGCGCGGGTTCGAATCCCGGCTGCGGTGGCTGCATTTCCGATGGAGGCGGAAATGTTGTAGGCCCGTGTGCTCAGATTTGGGTGCACGTTAAAGAACCCCAGATGGTCTAAATTTCC